ATGTGCAGCTCAGGATATCCTAACTTATTTTGACACCACAGTATCAAGAGGAAGGTAGTTAGCTATCACCGCCAAAGGGTGGTGTAGTGGTAAGTACTCTTTCGGTCTTAACAAGAGGTCTTGGGTTTGGGTATGGATTCGCCTTTGGTAAGGAGTGCTTTACCTCCAAAGTGGAACTTTACGGCGCGAATCTTGATTAGTCGGGCCCCAAAACGCGTACCCGACACTGCGTGAGAAACAAACAAAAAAAGAAAAGAGGAAGTTAGCTGCCAGGATAAACCTGGGGGGAGGATTATTAATAATTTGTTGCACTGTGGAACTAGTGCAATCAATAGTGTAGTATAACTAGTGATGGACTTTGCTTCTAAATTTACTAAATTAATTACTATATACATTTTAGCCTTCTGTGTGATTTGCAGATAAGGGGATACTTTCTGCATATGATTAGTAATTAATATCTGTTTGGATAGACGCAACATGCTCATTTCATAGAACACAACGATCTAAGGGTGTTCACAACCATGTGTTTAGCGGTTCATAGTCAGAAGATCATTTTTGTCTGATTAAACCTTCATTACATGAAAACTATAGTTGCTTGCCTTAATTAAGATTGAGCGTGAGTATGTCTGTTTTAGTGCTCACACATCTGTTGTATCATACTGTTCAGTGTGCACAAATAGGTCTTTCTATTTTCTGTTCTTCAGCAGAAAAGAATTAAGTAGGTCCATGCCTTAGACGAAACTTTTAGTCTATGAAAACAGGTACCCATAACACTTTCCTTTGCTGATAAGTTGACAAATGATGAGGTATTAAACATGATCAACTGTTTTTCTTAAACACGTCGAATCATATGGTATTGGTTATGGTAATTAGGACCTTTTCAGTTTTATGTATGCTTCATATTTTCTTACTGATCACTTCTCTAATAGTCATCCTTGTCCAATCTTCTTGAAATACAATATTTCAGTGGCTAACATTTATTTTTTTGAGAATGGTAACATGTTCAGTGGCTAACATTTATGATGTTATCAAGATCCTAACTTAGCAAAATAAGGCATCATCTTATCTTGGCAACTAATGTTAACCAAGTAGAGAAGGTTTATATAGAATCCAAGCTCCACCTCTCCCTCAATATCTATTTCATTGTAGATACATTGTTGTGAGTGATTTTATTGTCCATATCCTATTTGTTTCCCTTAGACCCTTACTTTCCTTTTATTATCCTTTCGGTTGCTCCGTGTCAATCTCTTTATTCACCACCGCTCTCCTATTAATTGTTGTCGGTTTCTCCAACTTCCACCTTCCTTTTGTTCACCACTCTTCCTCTTTTTCTTCAGCGCGACAGTTGTCATCTTCGATGTATCCATGTTTATCTTTGTTTCGGTGGTGTCTCTGATAGTCCTCATGTTTTTCCCAGATTTGAAAGTTTGTTCTCTGTCGCTCTCTCACTTATGACCTTGCCTAATTGGTAGAGTTGTAAGTGCTAAATTTCCCTGTTCCTTTGAACTTGTAAAAGTTGTTCAAATCCGCTAGTTATCAGGCCAATCTTTTAGCACTTCTTTTGCCGTTACTATCTTAATAAGCACGATGATCTCTGCTGATCCACCTGGTGATGAAATAACAAACATTTTGTCAAGACTTCCAGTCAAAGCTCTCATGCAATTCAGGTGTGTTTGCAAATCTTGGTTTAATCTTATTAGAGATCCTCATTTTGTTAAGATGCATATGAATCAGCATTCATCATATAAGAAAAGCTACTTGATAAGTAAAGATATCTTAGATGTTGGGGAAAAAGAATGTTGCACTTTGTACTGTGATGAAACATTTGCCGAGCACAAGAAACTGGAATTTCCTTTGTGGGAATCAACTAAAAGTTTTGAAGTCTTTGGCTGTTGCAATGGTGTTCTCTTTCTTCTTTACCCTATAACTCCTAGATCTGGTTGCAACATGTATTTTTGGAATCCAGCCACAAAAATAGTCAAAAATCTTAGCAGTTCTACTGTTCAGCTTCCTGACATTCCTGTTCATGTGGTGTTTGGGTTTGGATACATTCCTAAATTGGATGAATATAAGGTGGTAAGGATTTTGTATTCTGAGCAAATGAATCTAATAGACCCCCCAAAACTTCCGCCTATTGTTGAAGTTTACTCATTGAAAACAGATTCTTGGACAAAGATTGAAATTGATCTTTCATACTTTATTACAAGCCATATGGCAAAGGCATTTCTAGATGGATCGATATATTGGGTTGCAAGAAAGGTTAATGAAACTGTATCTGATGACTTTATTGTATCTTTCGATATGGCTGGCCACGTTTTTGAAGAAATAAAGCTGCCAAAGTCTTGCCTCGACGATGGTGCATTAACTGGATCGTTAGCAGTATTTCGTGATTCACTTTACCTATTTGTTCATTGCCCTGAATCACTAGATTGGTGGCATATTTGGATGATGAAAGAAGATTGTTCTTTAAAAGTTTGGTGCCATCAGTTTAAAATTGATTGCTCATTCAAAATCTGTTGGCCCCTATGTTTTATGAAGAATGGAGATGTTGTATTCGAATCCATTGAGGGGGACTTTTCTATTTATGACCCTATAAACCAACAATTTCAAGATCTTCACTTCCAAGGGAATCATGAGATGATAGAACTATTTGCATACAAGGAGAGCTTGGTTTTACTTGATTTAGTAACTAAATCTTGGCCTAGCAAATTTCACGACAATTGGAACGAAAAAGTTTGAGAGCCAAACTCTGAGGCAAAAGCTTCACAGGTAATGACTAATGAGCCAGTGAAGTCCATGTGAAATCTTTGACTGATTTTCTTCTTGTTTCTGAAGGTTTAGCTGTTCATTAGCTTTCTGCATAAAGTTTAAATTTTGGATTGTTAATATTAGTCACCTCTATGTTGCATGTATACCTTTGTGAGGAAAATGAAAGACATGGTAATTGTACCATTGTGTGTTACATGAGCTCTTTTACTGCCAGTTTTTTATTACAATGAATCCATGCAACATATAATCTTCTTTGCGATGAACACAGATGTGAGAGTTGGCTATCGATCCTCAGTAATGGGGCTCTCAACAATATTGCATTGCTCAATTCGAAGAATGCATTTTGGAATGTTATTTGTATAGCTTGAAAACGATTGGTCTTGGCTTAAGTCCTGCTAATGCACATCTTCTACATTCATTGCTCTCTGGTGGACCAGCCATTGCTGTTTCGATCCGTTTTCTATACCCTAAGATGTCTTACTCTAGTGATCCTGTTCTGTTATTGCACTTGTAAAAGGTACAAAATTTAAAGATCTTCTTGGTTCTTCATGCAGGTTGACAGATTATAACTATTTCCCGAAAATCTTTTGTGTCGTGACTGCAATAAATAATGCATCAGTGAACTTTAAAAGTTTGCAGGAACCAACTCTTTACTGATGGCTGTTACAAACTCGTTGTTGATTCTTCATGTTTGATGTGTAGTCTTAATAGAGCAGGACCTTCTTGTATGTGAAGTTCATTGTTTGAAGAATAGCTTGTTTTGTATGGACTACTTACTGCTTTTTTCACTTTTGAAGTTGCTCTCTCTCTCTCTCTTTCTATCATTGAAATTGTTAATGTTTGCTAGAAGCTAAAAATGCCGCTATTAGGGGGACTCAAGCACTGGCGGAGGCAGGATCTCCACGAAGGGGGTTCAAAAAAAGAAAATTGTAGTTAGTGGAAATTGAACCTATGATTTGAACCACCTTGACCACTAAGCTACACTTTTGGACTATGTTAAGGTGGTTCAAAACTTAATATATAGAGGTAAAAAACAGATTTTGCCTTATATACATATTGTAATTTTTCGGCGAAGGGACCCTCTTCCGCCCCCTAAATCCGCCCCTGGACTCAAGAGGAAACTAATATCATCCTCTGCCTCTACAGAAAAGCTGAAGAAAGAGCAGTATTTAAAGAATGGACTTGCACTGCTAAAGAACGGACCCCTTGATAAAATACTAGTAATTCTTAAAAAATAAATAAGAATTTTAACTAAATTATTCTTAATTAAAATTTGCGAATTATTAACTTGACCGATTGATATATATGTAAATAAGGGCAAATTTTAAAAAGTAAAGTTAATTCATTTTGATTATGTAAAAGAACACTTGTTTTGAACAAAATAAAAAGGTCAAAAAAAACCAAAGCATCACTTATTATGAATCATAGGGAGTATGATGTAATAATACTAGGTGAAGTACATGCTACTCTCCAAATAATGACTCATAAAGGTCTATTTTTTTCCGTTGTGGGTGATGGTAAAACAAAGAATATTTTCAAAAATTATTTTCCATGATCAAATACTTCAAAACAAAAATGTTTCGATCAAAATTAATAGATCTTACAAATTTATGTGCAAATATCGTACGATTTACTAATATTATTAATAATCTATAATGTTTATTTTTCCAAAAATTAATTTTCACATTGGAAAATATTATTTCTAGCACATATTTTTCATAAAAAAATGACTCTAGTCATACCATACCTATTATGAAAAAAAATCAATTTCCTCAATTTATCAAAAAGTCGCCTAAAATGAGAACTCATTAAATTAGTAAATTGAAAAATCATTCACCTTTCAAATAGTAACAAAACTATTCTTCTTTTGGCAAGGGAGTACAAAATCACATGAGCCTAATAATAAACAACACATCCCAAATCAAATGGAGTCTTGACCGAATCACCATGTAGATGTATGAATAATTCTGTAAACTCTATTCCAGTTTGCGTCAGCCTATTTACTTTTTGTCCCGTTCAAAAAAAAATGACATCTTTCTAAATTTGAAAACAATTTAGCTTAAACTTCCATTTAGACCCTTAATAAGAAACTATTATAACCACATAAATATTATGAACTCCTTTTTGACTTATTTAGGACCATAAATTCGAAAAATCTTCATTTTATCTTACACTATATGCTCAGTCAAACAGGTTCACACAAATTAGAACGAGAGAGTACATGATTCACATGCAAATGGTAAAATGGTTTGTGCAGAATTCACATTTATATCTTCACTTATTGTTGCTTGAGCAAAGTGCCAATTGAGCAAACCTCTGCTTTACCAGAATAACTATCTGATTCACTGTTCTTTTCTCAAGGAATAGTTAGCTATGAAAAAAAATACATGTATTACAGTACCTTTGCCCACACGTGAAATCTATTCAGTTGCGCATAGTTCGATAATCCGTGGACCGTGGCCCGTCCCTGAAACTTTCTCCATTTAAATATCAGGTTTTTGTCTACCGCATGGTTCGGACTCGTTACGTGCGCATAATTCACACATCATGCGTTGCGCTCTTACTTCTTGACCAAAGCCCCGAGGGCCATTTTTCTAACAAAATCTAAAAGGGCCATAAGTCACCCCAGACCGATCTTCGAGCCTGATGATGCAATGTTGGGTTTTTGCTCTTTGTAATAACAATTCGGTCAAACGAGCCTTCAGTGCCTTCTCGATCCATTGATCGACAAATGTCCATCTCAACCCGCTTGCCCCTTCTTAGAGGATTGTATATGATTCTTCCCCAACCACTACCAAGATTAGCATGGGCTGTTTCTTCGCCTTCTTCCTCCCAATCATCATTTTCAGTAATGGCGTCTGTTTCTGTAACATCGGAATCATAGGAGACTGGATCTTCATCTTGAACATCCTCATCTTCTGAGATGAACTGGTCCTCTGACATAAAAGGAAAAGTGTCACTATTTTGTAATGTGTTAACAGCAGGTTCTAGATAAATATAAAAGTTTTTAGATGGCAAAGCAAATCAAAGATCAAAATACTGATAAACAAATACCATAGTCAATCTCTAAATCCTCTGGATTTCTTCTGGCATGCTGCTCCTTCAAAGTCTCAAACTTCATACCATCCAGTGGCCAAGGCTCCCTAATTGAAAGAAATAATAAGTTCAATTAAAGGTTAGCTTAAGGTAGTGAAACAAAAACAATGAAATTTCACAATTGTGGTGATATAACAAGCTAAAAACAATTTAACTAATAGCATGTTGTATTCTTAATGAACAACTTGCCTTGGCCGTTGTCCTCGTCTAAAAGCGATAAAGCAAAACTTTTCATCTTCAAAGCCACGTAGAGGCTTACCTTTCGACCGCTAACAGACCATGAAAGAAACGGAATCAGAAACGTGATTAATACCCATGTATTGGGAAAAAGAAAATGCAAGCTTACACAGGAAACGGAGACACCATCAAATTCAGAGTGCACATTTTGTAGGGAAAAGGAATATGAGGCAAACCTTGTAGGCACGTTGTGATGTTGTCCTCTGCAAGCGTTGAACAAAATGACAATATTTTCCAGTGTTATCCAAAGGACAACGTCCATCATGCGGACACTGCAAACAAAAGATCAAATTCATTGAGATAGAAAAGTAGTGCAAATCTATTCAGGTAGTTTCATTACAAACTTTACGCTTACTGGTGCAACTATATATGCCCCATTCTTCAGTGTCGTCAATGCTTTACATTCTTTGCCAGATGCATCTTCTAGTTTGCGGCTTCTCTAGAAATTACCATTTTAGAAAAAAGGGAAAAAGATCATTTAGAATAAACATCCCAACTTGGAATAAACCAGCTCCCTCCCCGCCGTCCAAGCAAAAACCCAAAAAGTGAATTTTACCCTTTTCTCCATCCATAAAATGTGAGATCGCATTTGAGATATAATATTAGATCCTTGTGGTGTTCCTGGTTCAACCAAGACCTGCTCAACAGTATATTGTTAGAGGAAATAGCTTTTTCTCTTACAAAAAGAAGATTTTTGATAGAGAGATAAGGAGGAGATATTTAGTAGAACTACAGCTGTGTAAATGAGGTTTCCCCTCTTATCTTTTTCTAATACAGAGAGAAGACAAACTAAGAGCCCGTTTCGATTGGCTTATTTTAAGTGCTTTTAAGCCAAAATAGCTTTTAAGCTATTTTGTAGTGTTTGGATAAAGTAAAAAAGTGCTTTTAAGCACTTGTTTTTAAGCTAAAATGCCAAAAATAAGCCAGAAGCCAAAAGCTAGAATTCCTAACTTACGACTTTTGGCTTAAAAGTCACTTACAACAAGCCCATCCAAACGGGCTCTAATTATCATCTTATTCCAAGATCTTGATCAAGTTATCAGTTTCAGATAGTACTTGAACTGGTGAATTGAGAACTAACAACATCAATAGTATGTGAAAACTTTGAAGAAAAGCATATAATATAGTACTTGAAGATCAGAAGAACTTCCCTAAACCATCAGAAACTTCAGATAACACAAACATAATGAATCGACTAACTGTTGAAGCTTGATGAAAAAGCCTGCCACTTGGATGCACGAAAAATAAGTCTGTAGGAGAAATGGAATAGCAGGCTCTTCCCGCTTTCCGTTTGGGGTGGGGGAATAGAAGGCGGATGGGGGAAGGGGTTTGGACTGCTGAAATATGGACTTCAAAACCTACCAGAACATCTCCTGTCAGTTCCCAGAGCTGCCGCACAACCGTGATTCTGTCCTTCAGAGATGGAATCTCTCCAAGTACATATGACTTCAATCAAACAAAATTTAAAACTAATCAGCACCATAATCAAAACATGATGCAACAGAGCACAACATATATTCTTAACAATGACAAGATTAAACACATTAAAGAAATACTTCATAGTTTGATGAAGTAATAAAGTATTATAATTTGGAGAAGCCCCTACACAAAATCTAAGGAGCAAACCACAACAAAATTGTACTTACAGCAATCACAAGATCATGTTGTCTGTCACTCTTTTTGACATCCTGAGAGAGTGCTTGAATACTTCCATAACTTTGAATGAGTGGCAAATTTTTAAGACCTACAGCAATTACAGGACATATTTTGCCACCTTTATCAGCTTTTCTAAATACAGCGGTAGAATAGTAATAAAAATATATGTAAAGGGGTTATAGGTTCGCATTCATGAAAAGTAAAGCACTCAAAACTGCTAGAGAGAGAGAAACAAGAAAGCAATCCTTAACCACAGGCCTAGATACTCCTTTATTGTACAACAGTAACTCCAAGATATGACATCTTAGGTCGCGGCTTGTGAATCTCAGCGAATCTCCTTCATATAAACATGACAAAAGCTCAAGGCATACAAAATCTCTTCTTGTTGGCAAATTCTATACTCTGATAAGAGGACAATTTGCAAGGCTGGAACAAGTTGCATCAGCTTTATAAAAATATGACGTACCCATATAGAATTGTATTACGTTGTGTCTGAAGAACAGATTTGATATACTTTCACATCAAAAAAGCACAATAGACATACTTCCACATAAGCCAGTGACTCAGAAAAATTAACTAGCTGATCAACGAGGCAGTAAATAGCTAGTAATTAGGATTCAAGAAAATGCTTCCTAAGAGTATCAGACTTTTCCAGATCCGAAGGAGTCCATAGAACACCAGAATGTACCTTTTATAAGGCTCTGTCCAGCACGCTGCATGGACTGTGATGGCTCCACCAAATTAATTCTATTCAACGACCGTGGCCACACTTCTCTAAGTGCCCTGCATAACCACACAATTCAACAACTTATTAACCCAAAGGGTCAACAGATATTAACATATAGGTATGACAATTAACCAGCAGAAATCAACTAAATACAATATCAATAATTTTCTCACCAAAATGCAGAACCAGTCCCAGCCCCAAAATCCAACACCTTAGCTGGTGAAAACCCAGGCAATCTTCTACGAACCTAAAGTAAAATCATATCAAAGCAATCACTTTTCGCAACCAAATTCATATTCATGTTTCAAAACCCAAATTTTGGAAAATTCATCTGAAAGGACAAAATAGGAATGTAAAAAATCATTTCAATGGGATATCATATTTGTTTACCTCACTAAGCACTCTATAAAGAGCAGAGTAGACAGCAGGCATACGGGACGCCACATAGGCCATTGTTTCATCCTCCCTATACTTGAGGCCAATGTCACCATAGGCGCTTTTAATTTTCCACCGCTGTGAACATTCAACAGACTTCAGAGGATCTTCAACGAGCTCCTTGGATGTGGAGGTTGGCAGCATCAAATTCACTTCCTTTATTTGGCTGAATGATTCTGATAACCCCAACACTTTTCTCTTCATATGTGGCTCCTCTTGCTCTGCAATAAATTAGATCCACCCGAAATACAACTTTAGAGAGCGATCTAATAGAATTGCATCAATCAGTCAACCAACTATCCTCAACCCCAAACTAGTTGGGGCCGGCTCTTCCTGCTTCACAATAAGTATACCCAGCCAAAACACAAAATTTTAGAGTGAGATCACACAAAAGCATGTCAATCAGTCAATCAACTGCATGTCAATCCTAAACTAGTTGGGGTGGGCATCCTAGCTCTTAAATAAGTAGATCAAGCGCAAACACTAAACTTTAGCGAGAGATGAAATAGAAACATATACTCAATCATCAATCAACTATGCCCGCAATCTCTAACCATTTGAGTTCTCTTACTACGCAATAATAGGCCCAACCCAAGCATAAAACATAAGATGAGAGCAAATAAAAGCATATCAATCATTCAACCATTCCTCAACAAATTAGTTAGGGTCAGCTATACAAGTCATCTCATCCATTCCACTTTCTTTGGGGCCATTTGTAGGATGTGAAGAAAAGGGCACAGTTTTGGCCTAAAATAATCCCACAAGTATCACTCTTAATTTAACTTTATCCTCGAAATATCACCTCTGATAGAAAAAAATCTTTTTAAACATAAATTGAGAACTTTTGGTTTCACACCTATGGGATTAAACTCTGCTACATAATGGGTCTCATTGAGCCAACCCCAAATAGAATTTCAAACTCTTGAAAGTCTTATAAGTCCTGAAAGAGAGTCTCATTCCCGTACCTTACATACACACAATTCCAAATCAAGCTTTCTCATCTCCTTCGACATACAATATCACAGTAAACTCAAACAACATAAATTCCGTTCACAAAAAGGTATCAATATTTGAAGCATATGAAAAGTGGTGGCTGATGCAAAACCAAGAAAAGGTATGGCAGCAAAAGAAACATAGTTGTACTTGGCAATGACTTGAATATGACATAGTAGACTGCTAATGTGAAGGGAACCGATGAGTGTTACTAATCACTACTTTTTTATTCGTTGATATCTTATATGCCATAATTTCGGAGAGAACAAAAGGGTCAACTAACATGGTGTTCATTAGCACTGGAATTCAAATCCCTATTAAGCCCGTGTTATTCGCAGATATTCTCAGCATGAATTCTATATCCGCTCCACATTAAAATAAATCAGTACAACTCTAGACAAAAATGAAGGTTAAACCAAACACTTATCAAGCTCTTAGTACCAGGAATACCAAGCTCTAAATCTTAACGCAAGAACTTGACTAACCAATAAGCAACCACCATTGTCACAAATTAATCTTTTTTTACAACCAGGGTGTCCGGGCACAAGCTGGACTAACTCCACATGGTACCTGTTGCCTCCCACAAGCACATGCACCGAGTTTCACAAATTAATCCTTTTGCCAATTTTAACTTTTGCATGCTTGAAGGAATAAATATGTCAACGGTGATATTTTGAGTATGAAATGTAATAATTGAGGGACTATTTCAGCAAAAAAACTCTAAACAGGCACGTCCTAATGAAATCAATGTTTGAACAAACGTGCATAAAAAATAAAAATAAAAAGTTGAAATTTACCTCGGAGGTACTTTTTGATAGCTCTACGAAGGCGGAGAGGAACAATATGGCAACGTTCAGATTGTTTAGCTGCGGATTTGAGTGCTTCAGCGGTGAACTTTGGAACCGTTTCTGATACTATTGACGCCATTTCTGGTGGCGCTTGGCAGTTTCCGGCGAATTTCTGGCAGATTAGAAGCGGCAAATTAGGGATTTAATGCTTCATAGTAGGGTTTAAGGTCTGCTATAGGGAAGGTCTCTTCGTTACATTTGCAGTAGAATGAAGCTGTTGCATGTGTTGGGCTGTGATGGGCCTGTGAGAGTACCTTATAGAGGGGGATTTGGCATGGCATGACAACTAGTCCAATAATTGCCATGAAAAAGCCAACGTTTTAGGATTTGGCATATGGTAGCCTAAAGTTATTCTCTCTCTTCTAATGGTTCAATCACCATCCTAAAAATAAGTCCCATCAAAATTATTTTGCTTAAAAATAGCAAAAAATATTTAAAATCCTCTGTCTTCTCTCATAGCAACCATCATCCTAGAAATTAGGTTCCATTTCCTTCAGTAGTATCAGAAAAAACTTCGAAATATGTTATAATTATTTTTTTTAGTTTTTTATCTGTATATCCAAATATATATATATATATATATATATATATATATATATATATATATATATATATATATCCTCTCTACCCCAGGATAGGGGTAAGGTCTGCGTACACACTACCCTCCCCAGACCCCACTAAGTGGGATTATACTGGGTTGTTGTTGTTGTTGTTATATATATATATATATATCACATTAATAATTATATTATGTGTATATTACAGTGTATAACATAATAATAATGTGTATATCAAAAAAGTTATATTAAAATTTTATTTTCCTTCTTTGTATAACACATTTCAAATTGAAAACTCAAGTTCAAGAAGACTCCACATGTGTATCCCCTATTGTATCCTGTGTATATCTCTATGTACATCAGTGATATCTCATGTATATCATATGTATCTATATATATCCATGAAAATTTATGTTATATATACGATATATAATGTGATATACACGGGCGTCCATAAAAAAATTGTGTTGTATACACGATATACAAAGTGATATACCCAAACGTCATTAAAAACATGTGTATGATATACATTGATGTACACGATATACAACGTGATATACACATGTCGCAGTTGGATTTTTAGGTCTGATTTTTTACCTGAAACCAGTCTAAATTACTTCTAATCTTGCTCAAATTTTGTATATAGCCTCGTTTAGGCATTTTCAACCAATTTCAATCACACCCACTCGTTCAATCCAACAAAAAAAAAAAGAAAGAGAGAAGAAAAACAAAGTTAAAATGTATTTTTTTTCTTTCTTAGTTTTTGCTTATGATTTTCTCTGATGTGAGATCAACCTTACCTTTTCATCCAATTTTTTTTGCATAATTTACAAGAATTTTAGCTATGAGAGCGAAAGAGAAGAGATAGAAGAAAAAATACAAGGAGAGAAGGGGGGAAGGGATGCAGTGAACAAGAAGAGAAGTGAGCGGCGAAGAGGGGGGAGTGTCGCGCCTCCTTTTTACTATCCCGGAGGGGGTATAATGGAGTTTTTCCAATTTAAGTGACAATCGAAACGGGATTATCATTTAAAATCAGAGTCGCCACTTGGGATAGTTAATGGTGTCCCAAGTTACCGGTTTAGAATCCCGAATCGAGGAGATTTGACTCTGTTTTAATGTCTGCGAAACACAGAAATCCGGGTAAGGAATTCTGTTAAACCGCGAGAAGGTGTTAGGCATTCCCGGGTTCCGTGGTTCTAGCACGGTCGCTTTGATCATACTTGGCTTAATTAGATTGCCTAATTACTCATTTTAGAACCTATGTGCATTTGCCTCTTTTAATTAAGAAATTATCTTAAAAAAGGTCACGCGCACGTGTACCCATTTGTTTGGCGCGTCAAAAATCATGTCACGTGTACGTGTCCACGATTAATCACGCTTTATTATTATTAAGAAATTTTGGGTCGAAGTTGCACGAACGCATACCTCGATTTATTTTTAGAATCATAATTGTGTCACGCGAACGTGTCCACTATTGATAACATTTATTATTATTAAGATTGTTTCGTCCAAAGTTGCGCGAACGCATACTTCGGTCTTAATTCAGAACACGTAATTATTCTAAAGTGACATTGCGATACTTTTGGGTGCTATTACTACATGAAACTTGCAATATAGACTAATCTGAGATCAATGTCGGTTGTTTGCTATCTTTTCTTTTCCCAATATAGACTAATAGATCTGAATATTAATTAATCAATTTTTTACACAAATATGATGATTCCATACTACTCTAATCTACGGAAACATTTGAAACTAAAACTGAAAGGAAAAGGTTAAACCAGCATGCGTTCATTTCGTTAGCGAATTAACATCGTGCATTCAACACAAATCAAGCACAACTATACCAAGATGGGAACAGAGGCATATTCTAAGCTCATCATGATTAAAATAGCAGAAAAGAGTTATGAAGAACAAAACAACCCAACTGATACGATCTATTTATACTGCTAGAAAATGTAATATCAATTTGAGAAAGGAAGTAAAGCTTAAAACCAGCATATTTTCAGATTCAAACTTACTACCAGCTGAATTTTGTGACAATAGGCCAACATCACTTGTGTACAAATTTGTGTATGCTACTGATGTCAACTATAATATTTCAAGAATTCACAATCTATTAAAATTAAAGTTCATTCAACTGAAAGTCCAAGACTGAAAAATGAAGAGCACCAAGCAGAAAATGAAGAGACCTGGAGGTTTGGGGGGTTGAGATGAGCTGAAATTCTTTTAATCAACAGTGGGAAAAATTCAGCAAACATACACTCTTTCGATCCCAAAAATCTGACGAGAAACAACGACAAAATCGAATAAAAGAGCCGCGACCAAGACCATGAACCGACCTCGGATGGCTGCTTCAATCTGAGCTTTGACGGGGAACCTCAAACAAACCTCGAACCTCGCCGGAAAAATTCGAACCTTGCCGGCGAACTCGGACACTACTAGAACCAGAGAACATCAATGGTCGCTCATGGTGATTAGTTGGTGGACTGTGTGTTTTTGTGCTATTTTCGGGGAGTATTTTATGGCTGGTTTCCGGTTGTGATGTGAAGTCGTTGATTCTGTTGTACAGGGTGCAGGTGACAGCTCTGGAATAGAATGAAGAAGAGGGAGCGGCTATGGGTGAAGGGAGGTGGGCTCGGCAGTTGGCTGGAGATGGGTCTGGCCGTGCTCCAAGTTCAGGGGGTGGTCGTGCGTTGTGCTGAAGAAGACTAACATCCGAAGAGAGGGGGGGGGGGGGGGGTCTGTCCCTTAGCGCTGAAGAAGATGAAGAACGGGGGGTGGTCTCTTGTTCAGCGGCGGATCTCTAGCTGCTCTAGGTTTGTTAGGCGTTAGGTTTAAGGTACTTTTTTCTGCTTCTCCAAAACTACTTCTGCTTCTCCTCAAAAGCACTTTTTTTCCTTCCAAAAGCTTGGCCAAACACCTCAATTTTTTGCCAAAAGTGCTTTTGGCAAAAAAAAAAGCACTTTTGGCCAAAAAGAAACTTGACCAAACTGGCTATAGGTCTAGGTTGTGTATATATCTAGAACTAGTTTCTCAACACGTGCATTATGTATCTTAATCAATTAATATAAATTTCTTATCCCATGTCAATGAGTTCAAAATCCAATGTCAAGCTCGATAGATGAATTATATATGCGCGTATTAGACTACCATTCTATTTAATTGGTCTATGTTATAGTGTTATAGGATAATAAGATGGTCGGAATCTTTTATTTTTTAACCTAATCGCTATTTGGACATCGGAAAAAACTTTCTTTATCAATTGCTATTTGTTCTACACACGAATTCAAAATCTTTCCTGATACCTCCCAAGGAAAATCTCGTATTTGGATCCCAAGTTGACTGGTTAGAGTGGGCTTATCCATGCGGATCGATTTATCTCACAACGTTCTGAACCCAGCCCACGTGCCGCTTTAATGGGCGAACAGCCCAACCCTTGAACATACTACAGTCCATGGTAAGGATCCGACATCGAGGTGCCAAACCTTCCCTTCGACGTGAGCGCTCTCTTCGGAACCAAAATTTAAAATGTTGATAGATAACTCATATACTATAACTCTTTGGTATCCTCATATGCTACAAATTTTCATTATACTCACAACTTTACATTCCATACTCTATTACAGTTACAACGATACATAGACAATAGAATGGGAGGAAAAAAGAACCAAGTAATGAGATAAAAAAGCAAGATGAAAAATGAAAAAAAATAACTATGTGGTTTTAGAGAAATGTCAAACATATGAACTTGACTCCCATGATAGCATAATGTCAAGTTCTGCAGACGTATATAACTTTTTTTTGCATTTCACGCATTTGAAGAGAGGTAGGTTAAGAATTTAATGGGAGAATGTTGTAGCTGCAAAAATGAAATGATCACTTTATCACTTATAGCCAACTATATGTCTGTTAGAGCAGTGTCTTCATGTCCCAAACATCTACTTTTTCCTGGTACAACAAACTTATTCTTCAACTAATAAAATACTGTATTAAAAACCCCAAAAAAAGAAAGTAACAAAATACTGCAGAACTATAATTAGCATACTTTAAATTAATTTAGCTAATAACATGCAAGGTACCAACAAAGAAGAAAAATAGTAGTATTTAACAGAAAAAAGTGAAAAGGCGAAAATGAAAAGAGAAAAAAATAAACCTTCCTGGCATGTTAGTTGAGAGTGGGAGTCTTGTTCACATTTTATGGACTATGGTCAGATTCGATATTTGTGAGGGTTACTCAAAACAATGGAGATATGAGATTATTATATAGAGAAGGAGAAGATACAAAATTTAGTCATAAGGGAGTTGGAGATCATGTTTTTTAAGTAAAAAAAAGGCAAATAGATATGGAGGTTTTTTTGTAACTCTTGAGACATAATGAGATGTAATAAATAGGGTAATTAATTTTGAATTTTAAACAAATTAAATGGATGGAAATGATAGAAAGGACTCCTTGTGCCATATTCGTTCTAGTAAAATAATGATAATGGTCTTAAAGGTTTTTAATATTGATTAGGTACTAAAGAGGATGGTAAACAATGAGTAATTGCAACAAAAGAGTAACATATAAAGATTGAGTGTATTAATTGTAAATTGAAAGGAATGAAGCTTTTTTGACCAAAAAATCCTTAAAAATGAGTAAAAAGATAAATGGCAATCCTAATTTTAGAGAGGTGCCAAGTCATCGTTTTTATTTTATATATATATATATATATATATATATATATATATATATATATATATATATGATCCAAACAACCTTTGGCTTTTCCTCTTCCTTTCTTCCCAAACGTCACCTCTGCCCATTCTATCCCCTTAGGAGTAATATCTTGCATTGAAAAAATGAAATTATTAATTTCCACATTAATTACTCATAATCTATAGTTGTGAATTACAAAATATTGATAGATACATCCTCAAAAAACACCTTCATACATCGTAATTAAATTTTTTAGACATTTATTGGGAAGTTATTTTAGTTTTAAGTTAGAGGGTAATTTGGTCATTCAATTTTTAAAGGATATTTTAGTAAATTAACTTCTCTTAAAAGTGTTCATACTTATAATATAGTATGATTAATTAGGTTTTAGGGTTATAAAATCAGATGGAATTGTGTGGGCTAAGGTTAATGGGTCATCCGGATTTGGGCTCAATTTGGTTTTTAATTCTATACTTCTTGCAATTTGGCCAAAATATTAATTTCTTTTCCTAAAATAATACCATAAAAATGTAAAATTAATCTTTGTTAACTAAAATAAACAATATTAACTAAAATAAATAATATTATATTGTGAGATTATTTTGGTATTTTTTCAAGATTATATAAAAATAAAAGTCCTAGTAAAATAGTATGACTACAAAACTTTAACGAAATTATTTTTTGTAATTTTTAATTTTTTTGTGATAAAATAAAGTAAAAGAGTCAAAACTAGTTGAAATAGCTATATTAGGCCTAAACTAAATATTTACATGCTAAAATATATAAAATCTTGGGGAGGGTAAAAAATCACATGTCTACAGCTGCCCCTCTTTGACTGGAAACACGAAGTATTTTCGGACAAAGAACGACTAGACAGGTTTTTTGACCCGACCCTTATTTAGAGAGATCAAAACTAAGAGAAAGGGGATTGTGACCGAGCCCTGGTATCTGAGCTGCCTACATATCCTTGGTTATAAAGGAATCAGGCCACGTGTAGTTTAGAAGTGAGTGAGATGATGGAGTATACCGAGGTAGAGAGCCGATCGAGGTGCCGTTCCGTCGAGGTTCCAGTCCACGGTCCTGATATTACATCAAAATAAAAATAAAAAAGACTAACTAAGCCTGTCAACTATGAGTTACAAGATTCCTATCTATAAGTCTTCTGAAGCTTGATCTTGAGTCTTGAATGGTTCTTCATGCAGACTTTGGATTTGAACCTTGACGCTTGCTAGTTGCAGGTGCTAGTTCATTCTTCTTCACCTTTTCGGATCAAAACCGGACACACCATGCTTGTGACTTCAGTCATGTCTTGAGCGATCCACCTCTTGTCTCAACTTCTGCATTTTGGATTCACTTTCCTTTTCTTTTTCTTTTTTTTGTTTTTCTTTTTTATTCTGGATTGAGATTACTTATGTTGATCATCTCGGACTGTTGACTCACATTCTTGCCGCGAGCTTCTGCTACTTCTAACTTAGATTGAATTCTGAAATGACTTCCCTTGTTCTCTAGGTGGGCGCCTGATTGCTAAAACTTGAACTGTATTCCTTTAAAACTGCTTTCCCTTGAAACTTGAACTGTTTTTCCTTGTTTCTCCAGGTGGGCGCTTGATTGCTGAAACTTGAACGATCTTCCCTTATTCTCTAGGTGGGCGCCTGACTGCCGATACTTGAACTGTCTTCCTTCGAAACTTGTACTGCTTTCCCTTGAAACTTGAATTGTTTTCCCTTGTTTCTCTAGGTGGGCGCCAGATTGCTGAAACTTGAACTGTCTTCCTTTGTAACTGCTTTCCCTTGAAACTTGAACTGTTTTCCCTTGTTCTCCAGGTGGGCGCCTGATTGCTGAACTTGAACTGTCTTCCCTCGTTCTCCAGGTGGGCGCCTGACTGTCGATACTTGAATTGTCTTCCTTCGAAACTTGAATTGCTTTCCCTTGAAACTTGAACTATTTTCCCTTGTTTCTCCAGGTGGGAGCCTGATTGCTGAAACTTGAACGGTCTTCCCTTGTTCTCCAGGTGGGCGCCTGAGTGCCGATACTCGAACTGTCTTCTTTCGAAACTTGAACTGCTTTCCTTTGAAACTTGAACTGTTTTCTCTTGTTTCTCCAAGTGGGCGCCTGATTGCTGAAACTTGAACGGTCTTCCCTTGTTCTCCAGGTGGGCGCCTAACTACCGATACTCGAACTGTCTTCCTTCGAAACTTGAACTTCTTTCCCTTGAAACTTGAACTTTTTTCCCTTGTTTCTCCAGGTGGATGCCTCATTGCTGAACTTGAATTGTCTTCCTTCGAAACTGCTTTCCCTTGAAACTTGAATTGTCTTCCCTTGTTCTCCAGGTGGGCGCCTGATTGCTGAACTTGAATTGTTTTCCTTCGAAACTGCTTTCCCTTGAAACTTGATCTGTCTTCCCTTGTTCTCCAGGTGGGTGCCTGCAATCAAAACAAACAAAACGAACAAATGTTTTTGCCCCAGTTTGCACTTGCAAGTAAAAACCTTCTCGCACAGCCTTTGTGCTGACAAAATTTGGTCACGGCACTTCAAAAATTCAAGCTTCCAAGCTTTGATTTGGACATAGTCTTCGTCCCTATTTCAAACAAAGAAAACTTGTGAGTTTAAACATGGTGGTTGGTTTGTGTCCTTGACTTTGAGGGCGATTGCTCATTCACTTCCCATGATAACTTTGATTTCAACTCGAAAGACCTTGCTTGTTTATTGACTAACCACTTTCTCTGTCACCCTTATCCCAGAAGATACCTCTGATTCGTTCAAACCCAAACCCTCTATCTGTTGCATTGTGCTCATGAATTGACATATGCCGAACCTTTGTATTTCACATGAATCCCAAAGCATGTTGATTGTTACCAACTCAGTGCACTTGTTGTTCTTTCCTGACGTATGCCACTGGCCTTGACCTTGAGGTATGTTGCTCCTTCACTTGCCATGATAACTTTGATTTCCACTTGGAAGACCTTGCTTGTTACTGGTTAACCTCTTTCTCTGTCACCCTTATCCCAGAAGATACCTTTGATTCGTTCAAACCC